GGCTGCTGGAAGGGTTGCCCTTGCCGAGGCTGGTAGGGCTGCTGCTGGGGAACTGGGCCCTGTCGAAGCTGATAGGGCTGCCTCTGCTGAAAGCCACCAGCTGGTGCTGGGAAACCAGGTGGCTTGGTGGTGTTACTGCCCCAAGAGAAGTTGGGATGCTGGCGCCACCCCTCATTATAGGTGTTGCTGTACGGGTCGAGGCGCCGAGCATTGGCGATGAAGTCCAACTGCTCTTGGGGGGTAGTAGACTCCCTCATAGCCTGGCAGTCTTCTACTAAGTGGCTCGAGCTCTCACACCACTGACACTGAGCAACTGAAGATGTAGCCATGCCTCTGCCCGGAATAAGACTGTTGGGCTGCTTCAATGTCTGCACTAGCTCAGCTACCTGATGCTCGAGCCCGGATCTGGTCTCCATGGCGTGCACACCACGGTCCCTGGAATGTCTGCCTCTGCTGCTCTGCCCCCAAGAATGATCTCTGGCAGCCAATGTATTAATCATCTGATTCAGCTCGGGTGGAGTCTTGGTGAGAACATCCCCTCCTGGGCATAAAGACTCAATCACCCTCTGGCTATCTGGGGAGAGAGCGTTGTAGAAGTTCCCCACAGTGAAAGCATCACTAAAGCCATGGTGGGGGCACTGCCAGAAGTAGCCCATGTACCGCTCCCAAGCATCACGGAGTGACTCATCTGGCTCCTGGCGGAAGTGAGTGATCTCCCGCTAAATCTCTGTAGTCTTCGATGTCGGATAGTACCGGTGCACGAACTTGTCAGCCAGATCGTCTCAAGAGGTGATGGACAATGGGGCTGGGTCTCCAACCACCTCTTAGCATTCCCCGCCAGAGAATGGGGGAAGAGATGAAGGCGGATCGCATCATCGGGAACACCGTTCAGCTTGAACCCGTTTGTCAGCTGCAGAAAACGGGACAGATGTACCCTGGCCTCCTCATCCTTCAAGCCATGAAACTGGATCGAGGATGTGATGAGCTGAATCCAGCATGGCTTGATCTCGAAGTTGTTTGCTGGGATCGGCGGGTAGAGGATGACCGGGCGGATGTCAGCAATCCGAGGAGTGTAGTAGTACTCCAAGGTGGGACCCGGCTGCGGTGGATGATGAGCTCCATGATCCTGGGGTATGGGGTTGTTCCCTAGGACCTGATTCACCGGGGGAACCTGCTGTGGATTCCCCTGGTGTTGGTTGTAGTCTCCGTCCATCCCGGGCTCTTCTTTAGAATCACTGCTCAGGTGGCCGTCTATGCGCTCTTCGGTAGCCAGTCAAGCTCGCTGTTGTCTCCTGAGCTGGCGACAGGTGCGGTCAATCTCTGGATTCAACGGCAGTAAACCTCCCGACTGGCTACGGGTCATGCACTACCTGCACACACTCAAGCAACAAACCCGTGAAGGCACAAGTGGGACAAAGAAAACAAAGCAAAAAGAAAAGCTAAATTAACAGAAATCACTTTTCTTCAACAACCTAGCCGTCCCCGGCAACGGCGCCAAAAACTTGACTCGACTCTATTGTCACCCTAGGAATTGGCCAAGTGCAACCACTCCCTAAAGCGTAGTATAGCGGGTTTAGGTTTATATGTCAACCCGGGTCCTAGATATGATGACTACTTAGTGAATTCGTGTTATCTAGCAATGAAACTGGAATGCAAGTCTAAACTATCAAACTAACAAAGCAAGTAAACGGTTGTATTCAGGTTAAGAGAGGTCACCCGGATATGGTTCCCCCTAGACTGCAGTTAAGCCGGATTGTAATTACCAAGTTCAGTTTCTATGACAGTTATACTGCGGAAGGTTCTTAAACAGCCTGAAGTCTCGACTAAAGGTCTTCAGACCCTCTCAATTTGACTCTCTAGCGGGCGACTAACCTCCACCGGAGTCGACAGATTGAGGCCCTAAGAACAAAACCTCCTCTACCGGAGTAAATCCGGTACAGAATAGTGAGTTGGCTCCTCGACTAAAGTCACCAACTCCCTACCTTCAATCAAGGATACTCTATTAACCTAGGCAGATATTCTCATTCTAGGTCAAAGTAGAAACAACAGGAATTTGATCAGGATTCAAGTCATTCAATCATTAAAACCTCAATCGAATATAATCAATCATAGAATCAGTAATTGGGTTCATACAATCAAAGCCTAACATACAAATCTAGGGTTTTCCATACCCAGATGAATGGGAGAACTACTCCATAGAGAAGAAAGCAAAAGCAGAAACAGACACGGAATTCATACTGCGAAGGATGGATTCCTGCTTCTGGACGTTGATTGGCACTTCTCCAAGCTCAAGCTGGCCTCCAATGGTGTTGAAGATCAATCTAGGGCACTTGGGAACTCTTGCTCGTCACTTTCTCTCTCTAGGAACTGATCTCTCTCTCAAAAACTCGAATCCCCCTGAATTGTGGCTGAAACTCTGCTTAAAAGCATCAATGGCCAAAGCACGGTCGAGGGCACGGCCGTGCTTTGCCTGAGCCTGCCCGTGTTTCGGCCAGTGTTTAATTACACGGCCAGCAGTGGGAGGAAACACGGCCGTGCTTCGCGAGGTACACGGCCGTGCTTTGACTGAACACGGCCGTGCTTCGGTGCCCGTGTTTGCAACTGAATCGGCCAATCTGAATTTGCTCTTGGCATAAAAAGCACGGTCAGCAGTACACGGCCGTGTAATTCCTTGGGCTGCCCGTGTTTTGGCTCCAGCTCATCGAAATGACTTCCGAATGCCCCGAAACTCGCGGTTAGCCTTCCCTTTAACGCCTGGGACCTGAAACATGACAAAATAGCACAACCCGGCGTAAAATAGGCCAAAACACACGACTATACTTCTCAAACGGATAAGAACTAGGGGCGAAAACATGTGCAATTATCGAGTCATCAGGTGTACCGGTGTTGGCTTCCTAACAGAACCACCGTAGAGGATTCCATCAATGGACTGTCGTGGTAAGGCTTAGTTCTTTTCTTGGAATTTCAGTTGGTGATGATTTGGGCGTTATGGTGTATTGCACTTGATGGGGTCAATTGATGTGGTCTATGCATGGGGGCATTTATAATAAGAATTGTGAAGCATATTGTGTGGGTAGTGGAGTACATAAATGTTTAGGAAGGGAACAAGTAACCAGTACGATCGATGTTGGACCAAGAGAAAATCATGTGAGGGGAGAGCTCCAATTAGTTGGGCGGTGACTAATTAACCCTATTGATGTAGTTGCATGATTGCATGGCGGAATATCACTTAGCACGTTCCACTTCAAGTAAAGGGTTGGAATAGCAGGTGTTCAATTCAGGTCGGCTTGTTATAAGGTGAGTGTAAAGGGGGTAAATTCTACGCCTTACGGTCTTCAAAGATTTGCCTTGAGTATTTTCGAGTATTGATTTACGTGATGTATGTGTAGTATTTGATTCATGTTTGAGATTGCATGATTATGGTAATGATATGTGCCTTTTTCGAATTATGACTTGAAGTGAATGGTTATTATTTACTTAGAAATTTTGTGAGTATAAGTTATTGTTAAAGTTTAAGAAACAAGTTCTTTTTAAGAAGTAACTCACCTTCAAGAAGGTGAAGTCATTTTAAGTGTTTTTAGTCACTAGTGCCAGTCCGTTGCCTTTTGAGATATTTTGAGATAGAACAGCAGTTATGCTCTTGAGACTTTTAAGATGAGCAGCAGTTATGCTCCTGAGAATCGTGGTAAAGAGCCACCACGATAAGTTTAAGATGTTAGGGGGATGAATCGTTACGACTCCCCTGACTAAGTTTAAGTTTAAGGAAAGCCTAGATGGCTTCTCATACATATGAGTTGGGCAACCGGACTAGCTAGTGAGGGATCCCCGTGTCATTCAAAAAATTTAAGTCAAGATTTGAGCTTTAAGAAAGGAGAGTAACTTTAACTCCCGAAGAATTTTAAGAGCTAAGATTGTTAAGAGTGGAAGTACAAAACGACTTCCACTAGTAGAAGTTCAGTGTGTAGAGAAGAATACTAAAGTGCTATAGATTTTAAAGTAAGGGCGTAGACTGACCCCAACTCACTCACCAGATCGTAGAGAAGTAAATCCTAACCAGCCAGTCCGTGGTCAGAAAGCTAGAGGAGCTCAACACCATCGTCGCTGAGAGATGTCGTGCCAGGCGTCAGAGTAAGCATCGGAGAACTTTTTAAGTTATTTAGACTTTATGGTTAAGAGTTAAAGACTGGGGATTCATTTCTTTTGGACGATTTTAGTTTTGCCCACGTGTTTAGGGCTTCAATTTGAGATATTAAGATATTTGAGTTTGGTATTTTATTTAAATTTGTGTTATTTGAGATTTTTTTAATTATACCCCGGGGTAGAAATGTCTTTTTTCCAAGTTCAAAGTAGTGGGATGTTTCATGGATTGAATGATTTGTGTGTGGTTGTGTTTAATGTGAATGTGGAGGTATTATTCATGAATGATTTTGTTGTGTTGTGTGAAAGCCTATCAATCTAATTGCCATTCTAACCTAGGTAGAGAGAAAACCCCCCTTCCTTTCTTTGAAAGAGGCTTGACTACTGGGTTTTCTTAGGAAATTCATTGTCTCCTAGTTAGGTTAATGCAGGGAAAATATCCTATTTCGAAAGGGTTTGGTTGTGGGTGGCCGTCCGAACTTTGATTCGAGAGTGAAGTGTAACCAATCCTTAGTCAATAGGTTGAGAGAGTCGCATTAGTGGCTTGGATCGTATCCCCTTTCCTCGACCCAGAGACTAAGAGGGTAGCTTTGGCTACTTGTTAGACTTTCCTACGGTTACAAACCCCTCACCACACACGGCCATTCGATCCATCAAGTTGTAATTGCTAGCTAGGGGGAGCAACACCTGGGTGAGGCCTTCTCAATTATTGTCAAAACCATTTCTCTTTGCAAGTACTTTAGCTTTAGACCTTTGTTTTCACCAAAACCAACCACTAGATAATGTTACAAACAGTCGAAGTAGGGGTACATGAACTGGACCGAGTCAATACTTATACATAATTGCCCTGTACTACACCCGGTTCTGGTTGAGTCAAGTTTTTTGCGTTGTTGTCAAGGATCCAACGGTTCATTATTTTGAAAAGATTGTTTGGTGTTAATCTAGCTTTAAATTTTCGTTTTGTGTGTGCAACTATTTTTTGTGCTAGAAGTGTTATGGTTCTTTTGAGTGTGTGCTGGGAGGTGTATGATCCGGAGTAGTCCGACACCTTTGGCGCCACTAGACGAGGATCTCAACCGCACTCTTCGACACTTGGCTCATGAGAGGGAACTAGCGGAGGCAAGAAGGAGGATAGAAGAGGAAGTTGTAGTTGAGGAAGGGGTTGATTCCGAAGAGGAAGGAAGTGTAGCCGAGATGGCGGATAATCAACCCGCTCAAGGAAGAGTGGCGGCAGAGGAGCAACCGAGCACCATGGGCTATTACATGGCTCCAAGGCTGGCAGATATTCAACCTGCCATTCGACATCCACCCATGGCCGCCAACAATTTTGAGATCAAGCCCTTGTCACCATGATTCAAAACAATGCCCTATTCCATTGGCTTAGCAACGACTCTCCAAGGGAGCATGTTCAAAATTTCATTGAGCTTGCGGGGAGTTTGAAGATCAATGGTGTCCCCGAGGATGCTTTGAAGTTGAGGCTATTCCCCTACTCTCTTGAGGGTAACGCGTCTCAGTGGCTCAACAATAGGACAAAGTTTATGACTTGGTATTGCCCACCATTAAAGACGACGGAGTGGCAGTAGAAAATCCCCCATTTTGAGCAAGAGGAAGATGAAACATCGAGGGATGCTTGGGAAATGTACTTTGATTACTTCCTCCACTACCCACATCATGGATTCGAGGAGAAATTCCGGATTGATACGTTCTATGAAGGTCTCAACCAAGATGACAAGATCCTCATTGACTCCTTAGGTCAAGGGAAATTGATGAACATGACTCCACCCCAAGTGATCGAGTTGCTCGAAGACATGGCAAGTAAAGGGTATGATTGGGGCTTGACAAGAAGTGGATAGAGAAGTTCCCCAAGGGGAGTGCAAAGTATAAGAGTGATTCCCCTGCTTGAAGCCAAGATTGATCGTTTGATTGAGGCACTCTTAGAGGACAAGAAGCATGGGAAGAGGCTGGTGATGGCGTGTGATTGGTGCTCAAGTACCAACCACAACATTTCATATTGTCAAATTGTGAAGGAATCAAGCACAGCCGATGAGAAAGTGAGTTTCATTGTCAATACTAGGGGGAGCAACCCCTATAGCAATACTTACGACCTAGGGTGACGAAGTCATCCAAATTTCTCTTGATCATCTCCGACCAATCCAAGACCCCCGGTTTCCAAGGACCAACAGGAAATTACCAACCAAGGCCTATTTCATTCAACAAAGGCCGCAATTCCAAGGCTCTAACTTCCAACAACCATTTCAAGCTCAAGGAGGTCAAGGTTTCCAACAACCCGATAAGTTTGCAAAACTTGGAGACCTTGTGACCATGAGAAGTCAACAGTTTGAGAAGATTGAGCAATTTATGGATGTGGCAACAACAAAGTTTACCTCGGTCTAGGAGGGGTTAAGGAGCCATCAAGCAAGCCTACAAAACTTGGAGGTGCAAATTGGCAATCTTGCCGAGATCATCACCGAGAGGCCAAGGGGATCCCTACCCTCTCAAACCATAGTTAACCCCAAAGGCCAAAATGTCAGGTGCAATGCAATTCTCTTGAGGAGTGGTAAGGTTACCCCGGAGGTTGTTCCTAAGGAAGTGAACAAAGAATAGAAGACCCCTCCATCGACCAATGATCCCGAAGAATTGGAAGAAAAGAAAGAAGAGCCTAAGAAGGCATTGCCGACGCCACCACAAGTGGCTGAGGAAAAGCCTCATCTTCCTTTCCCCACAAGGATGCACAAGGACCGATTGGAGGCGGAATGTGGAGGATTCATGGAGATGCTCAGGAAAATACACATACCCATTCCAATCGTGGTGACCATGGGGCATATGCCGAGGTACGCCAAATACCTCAAAGGGCTTCTCGCCAAGAAACCAAAATATGAAGACCTCGCCAAAGTCACCTTGTGAGAGGAGTTCTCCGCCTTTATCCTCAACAAGTTGCCTAAAAAGCAACCGGATCCAGGAAGTTTCACTATCCCCCTTTGCATTGGAAATCATCATATAGAAAAATTCTTGGCAGGCTTAGGAGAAAGCTTTAATGTGATGCCTTACAAGCTTTTTAAGAAGTTGCATCTGGGTGAATTGAAGCCCACTTGACTTAGTGTCACATTGGTCGTTCGCTTTGTCATTAGTCCTAGGGGTATTGTGGAGGATGTCCTACTGAGAGTTGTCAATTTCTATTATTCGACGGATTTTATTATCCTCGACATCAATGAAGATGCTAATATGCCACTCATATTAGGACGTCCCTTCCTTGCCACCGTTAAGGCTTTAATCCATGTTAATGAGGGAACTTTAGTGTTAAGAGATTGGAAGGAGTGACTCGCTCTAACTATCACAATAAAATCCAAACTAAGGTCCAAGTATAAACCTTAGATGGGTGCAATATAGGGCAAGTATGTTTAAATATCGACCCGGGCCGTTCCATGAACGCTACTTCGACTGTTTGAAACATTATCCAGCGGATCGTTTTGATGAAAACAAAGATTGAAAACTAAATTACTTTGCAAAGGTAACATAGATTTGACTCTAGTTGAGAAAGCTTCACCCAGGTGTTGCTCCCCCTAGCTAACAACTATGACTCAAAGAATCAAACGACCGTGTGTGGTTAAGGGGTCATAAACTGCAGGGAAGTTCAATAAGCAACCAAAGTTACACTCTTAGATTCTAGGTTGAGGAATGGGATACAATCCAAGCCACTTATGCGGCCCTCTCAACCTATCGACTAAGGATTAGTTAGACTTCACCCTCAAATAGGAGTTCGGACGGCCACTCACAACCACACCCTAAGTGTTTAATACGAATTATGAGGTTTTCCCTCAATCTAACATAGACTAGGAGGCATAGAATGTCGAAGAAACCCATCTCTAGAAGAGCCTCTTAAGTTAAGGGGATTTCTCTCTAAACTAGGTTACAATGGCTTTTAGATTGATAGTATTTCACACAATACAATCATTTCTGAATAATACCTCCATATTCACATTAAAACACATCCACACACAAATCATTCAATTCATACAAGCAATCACATAATTTTAGTTATGGTTTACAAACACCCAAGTCAAATAAGGGACTACTCCATGCTAGGAGAAGGGAAAACACAAGAGAAGGAAAGGAAAACCATCATGAAGAGGCAAGCCTTGCTCCTTGTGCTGAAGAAAACCCAAATCCTTGCTTGGAGATCAAACCCTAGCTTTTCCTCTTCTTTTCCCGATCTTCGCTCCATTTCTTCCAACTTTCGACTCCGGGGTTGGTTTTCACCTATTAGGATCTGAAACACACCGAAACACACAAAACCTAACTTAAAACCAACCTTTTAGGAGTTCTAATGTCACAAACGTCAAGTGGAAGCGAGGGGGTAAAAAATGTACAATTAGGTCCGAATCAAGGAGCGACTTACTCTTTCGATGGAACCTAAGGTTAAGAATGATGAGGTGAAAGAATTGGAATCGATTGGTATAAATGGAAGTGGTGGTGAGCCTCTCAAGGAAACCCCTACTAGTGTGTATGTTCCATTTAATGATAAGGTGCAGGAAATCAAGGCGGGTGCTAATCCTGGAGGAAAGAAGAAGAGAGTGTGGAGGATAGGCTTCATCAAGCCTCCATCCTACCAAAAGATAAGGGTAAGGCGAAGATGTCGGGCCGAGAGGGCCACCCTAAGGATCTAAAGTAGGGATGGCAACAAAACCCGAACCCATGGGTACCCACCCGACCCAACCCGGTCAACGCGGGTAAAACCCGTGTTGACGGGTTTTGGGCCGGGTTTGGGTTTAAACCCGCTAAACTCTTCACCGGATCGGGTTGGGTTTGGGTTTAGGTAAACCCGCCCCATGGGTACCCGCCCACACATATATAATTACTTTTCCGGTATATTTAATATTCTAAATAATATATCTTCCTTAAACAACTAATATTCTTTATGTTTGTGGAGACATGTATAATTTGTTCTTTTTAGTTTTTTAGAATGAAGTTGATATTATGAAGTGGAGAGTGAAGAAACTTAGTTGACGAGGAAGAAGCTTTCAATTAATCTTATTGTTTATAGATGTTTATCTTTAATTTTGAACAATTTGTATTTATCATTTGCGGTTTGCTTGTATGCTCTAGATTGGTATTTTTTGTATGAGAAAATCGATGTTAAACTTTCATATTGAAAGAAACTTGTTATTGTAAATTTTTTACCACAAAAACCCACGGGTACCCATGAACCCGCGGATACCCAGCGGGTTGGGTTGGATTTGCATTTTTCAAACCCAATGGCTTTTACCCCGGGGTTTTTTTTATAGATAAACCCATGAGTTTGGGTTTGGGTTTGACAAAACCCGCCCCAACCCGACCCATTGCCATCCCTAATCTAAAGGAAGGAGGTGTCAAGCATCACCCGGAGACCATGGTGAATCCACTCCCGGTGGCTTCATGCAATAAAGCATGATAGATCCGCAACATCGAGCTAGTGACGTTAAACTAGCGCTTGTTGGGAGGCAACCCAACGACAAATTTTTTCTTTTCCTTATTTTTCTCTTTTTGTGTGCGTGTGAAGAGTTCAAGTGTGGAGTTTGGGGCATCACTGTGCCAAGTATCTGTGTTTTCGTGTTTTGGGATGTGGTGTAATCGGATTAGGGGCACGGTGGAGTAGATTGAGTCAAAAATTGTTGGGAGTACTGTGTTTTTCGCTCAGTTCACGGTTTTGGCTTCTAGTTCACGGTCTTACAAGACTGTGAAGTGGAGCCACCGTCCGTGAACTGAGGGTGCTTCCCCTGTTTTCAAAAGTCAACATTTAACCACAGTTCACGGTATGGGAGTTATGTTCATGGTATTAGTGACTGTGAACTGACTCCTCCATCCGTGAAATGAGGATTCTGTGTATAAAAGGGGCGTGAATGACTCTGATCACTTCACGACCGCCTTTCTCGCCATAAAATTAAAAAAACACCAGAAAACCGTGATTTTCTGTAAAATTTTGTAGATCACAGCGTCCTCAGACCCCAAAACCCAAAACAAATTACATACCCCTTCTCCTCCCACCTAGGTGCACCTTCGCCTGCAATTTGGGGACATTTGGGTCTCATTTTATTTTCTGGCGAGGCTCCTATGACCCCACTCTGGCCAGTTTTCGTGCAATTTTTTTGGCTCCCTCGTCCTTTCCTCACTTCCACCTTGACCCCACTTGAGTCTCCAGGTTTTGTTTCAACCTTTACCTTATCAATTGTTGGAGAATCGGATTAGGGTGTGAAGTGAGGTAATTTTTTGTGAATTGATGCTTGAATAAAGAAATTAGGGCGAGGGATTAGCCGAATAATGTGTTTGAATGATGTTTGATGTTGTATGAATTTAATTGAGCCTTGGTGGGCATAAATTTTGGGTGCAATTTGTGTTTGAATGTGAAACTTGCCCACAAAATGCAAAAATATGAATGAATGTGGATCAATACTTGTGGTTGATGGTTTGAAGCCATCGGGTCAGGGTTAGGGTTTGTTTTTCTGTGTGGAAAATCCGTGAATCACCTAAAACCATGCCCCGATGAGCATTGTGTGCATTTGAGCTTAGTTGTCAAAAAATCGGTCTTGTGAAAGCCTTCAAGGCACGGGACCGTAGTGGAAGCCTAAGTATGGGGGAAATCTTTTCTACAATTGATGTGAAACTGACAATCATTTCCAGGTAGGCTGTGTATTTGGATGCTTTGCAGGATGGTTTATATAGAGCACGAGTTCACCGACTACTTAGTGAACTTCCCGAAGTACGGGATCATGTTCAGCCAGTGGAGATACAGTGAGGTCGGCCCTCATTGGGTGCTAGATCTAGACAAGTTTAACATGTTCAGGTGCCCAGCTGTGATGTCGGGGGTACTGAGTCACCCCCAGTGGAGGCAGGTGTTGGCGATGGATGAGCTCATCTACAGAGAGCTCTGCGTGGAGTTCTACTCCACTTTCTCCCATGTCATTCCAGGGAGTAAGAGTGTAACACCCTAACCCGGCCGGCTACTACTTTTACTAAATTCCCCTTGATAAATAAAATACTCAAATCTTAAATTGCAGCGGGAAAGATTTTCACAAATAAAATACTGAAAACACACACTTGTAGTTCAAGCAAAGCCCTAACAGGTGGGCAAATTAAACTCAAACTTTAAAATCTCAATTTGATCTCCAGTCTATACTCATAATCATGAAATTCAAATAACTAGGTAGTCTCTGTCGTTGCTGCTACTGAAAATCTTAACTAGGCATCCTCCGTGGCGCTTACACTGCCCTCCTCTAGCTGGCTTCCCTCGAACTTGCTGCTCACTAACTACTCCTCTAGCTACTTCTCTAGCTCGTCAAAACTGGTGAGTGAGATGGGGCCAGTCTACGCCCTTACGTATTAATAATTCTTATACTTGAGTACTTTGCCTAAACACTTAACTTTAACTAGTGGAAGTTGTTTGTACTTCCAATCTTAAAATCTTAACTCTTAAACTTTGAGGGAGTTGAAGTTACTCTCCTCTTTTAAAGCTCAAATCTTGACTTAAATACTTGACTGACACGGGGATCCCTCACTAGCTAGTCCGGTTGCCAACTCATACATATGAGAAGCCATCCAGGCTTTCCTTAAATTTAAACTTAGTTAGGGAAGTCGTAACGATTCATCCCCCTAACATCTTAAACTTATCGTGGTGGCTCCTCACCACGATTGTCAAGGGCATAACTGCTGCCCATCTTAAAAGTCTCAAGGGCATAACTGCTGCTCTAACTCAAAATGTCTTAAAAAGAACTTGTTTCTTAAACCTTAACCATAACTTATAAACGTAAAGCTTTACAGTAGATAATAACTCATGCACATTCACATCAACATAGCTCAAACACAATCACATATCACCAATCATAAACACAATCAAGCAATGACAATCACTTCATCAAATACTTAAAGCTCGTCAAACTTGAAAGAATACGTAAGGCGTAGAATTTACCCCCTTTACACTTACCTTATTGATCAGGTCGACTTGGCTTGAGCTAACCACCCTCCTACGCTTGCAAAAATCCACGGGGCCTCTAATCTCTGTCCCTCTTGCTTGCTTAACCGCTCAGGGCCCACCTCATGCTTGCTTAAGTTGGTAGCTAACGTAGTAGAGAGGCAGCCTCCTACTTGCTTAACCGCTCACGGCCCACCTCCTGCTTAAGAGTAGATAACGTAGTAGAGAGGAATCTCCTTTATGGGATATGGAAAAATCTATAGCTATAAAACCTGAGCGAAAAAATTCGACCACCCTCGGACACCTGCTTGCTTCACGGTCCTGCTTGCTTAAGCAAGTAGCTGACTTAGTAGAGAGGAATCGATGACGTGGTAGAGAGGGAGGAATCGATGATGGGCACGCAATCACCCCCGGACCGCCTCGTCCGATAACGGTTCTGCTTGCCTAAAATAATGGTCCTGCTTGCTTAAGCTAGCACCTCTCATAGGCCTCGTCCGATAACGGTTCTGCTTGCCTAAAATAATGGTCCTGCTTGCTTAAGCTAGCACCTCTCATAGTAAAGAGCTTGCATATCGCCGGATGCATTTCCTCCGCCTTCGACAATTGCCTGACTTCCTCCCTCCAACTCTCGTAGTAGCGGCCTCTGGTCCGCTGCGAGCAAGCTGGCTGCTCTCGCAGTAGAGAGCGAGCACTTTGAAGGGCCGGCCTTCCTTGGTGCAACCGAAGCCTGAGAGGAAGCTGCTTCCGCTGGAGAGTGATAGCAGGGTTTTACTATTGGGGCTGAGGTCGAGTGGGGTAGAGCGAGGGTCTAGGGTTTAATTAGTTATAGGACATTTTGGGAATCTCACAATTACGTGTTAGTTTAATCCGAAACTCAATTAACGTCCGTAATTCCTCATTTTATGTCCAAATTTGACACCCGCTTAAACCGAAAAATTAACATTTTTAGTCCTCATTGATATTACGGCGGAACTTGACCCAGGGGTATAATAGTCATTTTGACTTTTGGGAAGAGCGGGGTGTAACAAAGAGGAGTAGACCCTATGTATAGTTCATGTTCGGGGGTCAACCGAGGGTGCTGACATATGATGGCTTCGCTGAGGCCATGGGGATCGCCTACAACAAATTCGGCCTGTTATGACGGGGCCCTTTCGTCATATTAGATACCTATTTTTTCATACTTGCCCTAATATGACAAAGGTGTTTGTCACAAAGTTTTGTCATTTTATCGCCGTCAAGATAGGTCAAATGTGACAAAATTTTGAAACACATTTGTCACAAATACTTCCGTTACATATGAGGTTCTGGTTAGTCTATTGTGACAAACAAAGATAATATGACGAAAACTTTTTGTCATTATTTTTGTCATATATTGATACTTTTGAGAAATTAGTTGGTCATATTAGACGATCATAGTTTGTCATAACAGTATTTTGTGACGAAAAATATTTGTCATGAGAGGTTCATAATTTGTCAGAATCCTAATATGACAAATCCGAGTTTTGTCAGGAAATGTTTATAATGTGACAAACTGAAAAGTTTGTCAACATGTTTTGTCATAAATTGAAGGCATATTACTGGGTTTATACTCTTCCATCACATTGTTGTGACTAAATTATTTTGTCATAAATTATGTTGTGACGAATATCCTTTGTCATAAATGCGTATCTGACGAATATATTTTGTCATTTCAGTATATTATGACGAACACATTTTCTCATAACTTATAATTGTAACTTGGCCCTTTTGTCGTAAATCCTTATTATGACGAGTATATTTTGACATTTTTTCCTATTATGACGAATATAGCTCGTCATGGACTTGTCATAACATGTGAACTTTCCATTGTTGTCACATTTGACCTGCTTAACAAATTCCATAATGCGAAATTTTATCCGCAAACTGAACATGGAGATATATTGGAAAACATCTACCATATTACATCCATGTCCATTCCCATGTCCCGCTAAGTCCTTGTTCACCATAAACAAACATTCAAAGTAGTCCAACATCACACAACACATGAAACTCCTTGTTCACCACAACACAAAGCATGATAACTTTGTTCACAAAAGCATAACCTAACATACTTAAAACATCTAACACCTAGCCTGCATTCTCATCTGCCTCTGCAAACTAAGGCAATGTCGTTACCTTGGACTTAGGAGTTCATTTGCGGGGTAATTGGCGAGCAATCACTAGCACTTGATGCTGTAGCTTGTCCTGGGCGGCTTTCATCTGGTTCATCTCCTCTGCTTGAGTATCAAACCTCTCCTCCTGGCTCTTTAACTTTTCTTCCTGAAGTTGTATCTTCTCAGCCTGGCTTTTTAGCAGCTCCTCCTGACTCTGTATCTTCTCAGCAAACTCCTTGGCTTTTATTTCCGCTTCAGCCCTTGTTGCCTCCAATTCTGCTTAGAGTTGAAGCTCCTTTGCTGATCTTGGGTTCTCTTTCGGTCCATACTTCACCTTTTTCTTGAGGACCTTCTCAACAATGTCACGGCCCGATATAGGCTTCCCCTCTGCCTTTGCCTCTATCCACATGGAATGCATCTCCAACTAGGATTGAACAACAATGGGTAATGATATTTGTCACATGGTTTGGTATGAACTCAGTGAAAATCAAACAAGGCACAAAAGGATGAACTCACATAGTTCTTCTGCGATTCCTCCGATACCCAACTACCGTAAGCCTGCTGATACCTCTTCGCTTACAATAGGAGATCTATTGGTTCCTCCTCTATGGTATTAGCGTCCTCCATATCAGTTTCCCGCTCTTCTTGCGTAGGCTGCTCCTCCTGCTGCTTTTGCTTCTTTTTCTCTCCTACACGAAACAAGGAAAGTTCCACAATCAGGCAGAGTAACCAACTCATATATTCTTTGAATGTATAGATAGGGGTGGCTATTTGGACCGGGACCAGATTAAAAACCGGAAACCGGACCGTATAACCCGGACCGAGACTGGACCGGGACCGGATAGTAAACAATCCAATCCAATCTTTGGGCTTAGATTTGAGGTAAAAAACCGGATAAAGACCAGATAAGAGAGCTCAACACCCAAAACTTAAGGGTAATTTGCATAAACGGTCACAAACCTTTGCACTTAGTACAAAACTTAACCAACTCCTCACCTTTTAAGGCCTTAGGTCACTCAAATCCCACAATATCAATGTAAAATCAAGACCGAATTGGGACCGGACCGGATCAAGACCGGACTGTATCCAATCCAATCTTTGGTCCTTATATTTTCAAAAAGACCGGACTGGACCGGATCAATTTGGGCCAATTTAACCGGACCGGACCGTATAGCCACCCCTATGTATAAATTAGTATTTGAATTCGAGAACACTTACCAACTCATATATTCTTTGATCAAGCGATTTTGCACCAGAAGTGTGTGCATACACTTGCTTACTGTTGTTGGCTTTATTTATTTGGCTTCGCTTCTGCATATGACAAATACAAGTCATTAGCAACCATTTATTGTAGGGCAAGGTTACGCATGAAAGAATTGATGATGAAACAGAAGGTGTAACTTACTAGAAAGTTTTCACTCTCAAAGTGATCACACAGCATATGCCAATCCTCTATGTTCATGTCCACTGGAGGGTCTGTCCTGGCTGTCTGAGGGTCTTTCAGGTAGTGAGCGTGCATCGCATACTTGTAATTGATGAACCGCTTCTTCATTCTCTTCTCCATAATCTTCCTTGCATCTACTCCTGCCGTGTCTATGTCAAATTCATCCTACATAAACAACAATTATATAATTCATTTACCAACAGATAGTGAAGTTTCCCAAGTCAAGTAAAACAAATACCCCAACTTTGCATTCATGATTTCATCCTACTGGGCAATATATAAAAGGAAATACAGACCAAAAAAAAAACAAACAGCAGCAAAAAAAAAATATGTCCAGATTAGCCTACTTCATGCCAAACTAGGAGTTTTTCGGAAATTACCTCTAGCTTCTTGAATAATGGGTGCTTGTCTGCTTCAGTCAACTTGGACCAGTAGTACTTCCTTATCGGGGCCATCAGGCGTGTTACGACGCCCAACTCTGTCTTCAACAAGCTCTCATTAGGCCCTACGAATGACTGCCCATTCTCCAATACGTAGATTCCATCTATCTTGCCTCCAGTTCCGGTTCTCTTCATTATCTCGTACCCTTTAGACAGTTCCCTCTTTTTAGCCGCAGGGGCTCCTTCCAATCCAGTTGGATTACTACCTTCTCCGATCTCATGATTGGATGCTTCTGCCTCCGAATCATCGTTGCCATTGTGTTCGTCTGGATTCACAGTGTCTGTGCATTGAGTATCCTCATTCACTGAGGCTCCAGTTCGACGTCCACTCCCCCCTCTTACAGATTCGGTGGACCGAGCAGGTTCGGGCCGCACCCTCCCTGATCTTGTCGCCCGATAAAAATCCGGGATCGGCACTCCCTTTTCACTAGCAGCCTTCTTCTTCTTCAGTGGCGGCATACCTACAACATAGGGGTTGGTTTAATGGTCAAAAAGCAACACACAGTAGGTGCTGACCTCAATTGAAGGCTAACAACGATTAATTGCAAAGACCAACAAAGCAAAACCGAAGGAAAAGAACACAAAATATGCGAATGAAGGATAAAACCACAAGTCATATTCCAGTTACATAAACTTAAATCAGCTAAGCAAATCAGAACCAAAAGTTCCAAAAAGAGTCAGAGGAATCGAAAATGGCAACAATTTCTCAATGTTAGAGGAATAAAAAAAGAGTCGAAAATGGCATCAATGTCAGAGGAATCGAAAAAGTGTCGGGGAATACATCCATATCTATAAGGTATTTCCCAAATTCCCAAACACCAACAATTTCTCAAATTTTTTCCCGATAATTACTATTTCCATTGAAGCTCATTTGGCCAAATCCCAAATCACGAAAAACCCAGGACTTCAGTCCTTACAAGAGTAACAAGCAGCACTTTACAGAAGAAAGTTCAAAGAAGAGCAGCTTTGAAAGAAATTAACCCAAGGGCCTCAGCTTTTTGGAGAAAGTGAGAAACAGGTGCAGTATGCAGAGGGACCTCAAGAGGAGAGGAGGTCAAGGGTGCAACGCCGATTAGAAATCCAAACCCTAATCGACAAACAAAATCACAAACACTGCAAATCGGAGAATCGGAAAATGGAGGGCATCATTAGAAATCCAAACCCTAATCGACAAACCAAATCACAAACGAAGAAGAAATCGGAGAATCGAGGGCATCAACATAAACAGAGCATAGCATGTCGCGGCAAACCTGAATGGCGATTATGAAACCAGCGCCTAACTGTCAAACACCTCCACAAACCTAGAATGACGAGAAGACACTACACAGCAATGATGAGTCTCAATTTCACAGGGGAAGGTTCAGAGAGAAATCGCCATAGGAGAGGTAGCGACTGTCGGCAGATTCGAAGAAGAGGGAACTAGGGTTCTCCTTTCGGCAAATACAAAGAAGAGGGAAAAGGGCTTGGCTTACCTCATTTAAAACGGGCCCGACTAAAAGAATGAAAGGGCTTTGATCCCTTTAATCATATGGGCTCCGAAGATAGCCAATATAAACCATGTTTGAACCAAACCCAGTCTCCCTCCTACACAAACACTACAAATCTGCACCAGAAACCCAATCAAACATTAAAATTCATTGAACCAGAGACGATCTAGCTTTATGTTTTGCCTGGGTTCATATACGAAAAAATAAACCCCATTTTCAGACTCAAGTAACATCGATAAAAATTGAAGGCTATATTCAATATTCTTCATATAATAAACCCAGAAATCTGTAAAAATGAAACTAAGGCCCAAAAAAATTGTTCAAAAACAACTATGGCCCCCAAAAAATTGGTACATATCTATGTAAAAAAATATTCTGCAAACATATAAAGGGCACCTGGGTTTAATGTACTGTTATGCTTCTTCCTCGTCACTAAAGGATGGATCATTCCCATCTGGGTGTTCAGTTTCATTCGTGGTGAAATGATGGTCATCTAAAGTGTCGTCCTCTATCTCCTCATCGCTTGCTACCACTGCTCCAGCTCGTCGATCATTGGCTCGTATGACTGGCTCAGTAATGATTGTTGATGCCTCGTCATCACGACTCAAATCCGCTAAGTCGCTTTCACTGACATTAAAATCAGAAATGTCCACATCTTGTTGGTATGGCTGATTTTCATACACTGGATCCCCATGTCCCGCTTCCTCCTTCTCAGGAACATCGTACAAACTTCTTGGACATACCTTGTGGACGATATGCCATGCACCACCATTCTTAATATCCGCAATGTAGAACACTTGGTTAGCCTGACTGGCCAATACATATGGGTCCTCCGTACACCATTTTCTATCCATGTTCATGCTCGTCAAGTGTCCATCCATCCTTATTCCATTCTTCTTGTCCCCCACATTGAACCACTAGCACTTGAATACAAACACCCGATGCCCTCCAGAATATTGAAGCTTAATAATGCTACCAGAACCCCGTAATAATCTATAGTCTCGCCATTGTGGTCAGCCCTAACAACGACACCACTATTTTGAGTTCGATGCCCTTGATCAACCATTTTTATTTGGTATCGAACACCGTTAATAATGAGTCCAGGATATCTAGTAATACATTCATCAGCCCCTAATCCCAGGACATATAAATGGTCAGTCTCTTTAAGCGTGCCAGCCAAAAACTGTTCAGACACCTAAAACATAATGCACGGCTGCTGTGAGTTAGAGAAGAGAAACAAATGGAAATATAAAAAAGGGGCTTCCAAAAGTTGATAGACTAAGATGGCTAGCTAGCTGAAATCAATAGATTGTGGTCTTGTGAGTAAGAAAAAAGAAAGGGGGGGGGGGGGGGGAATTTGGGCTTACAAAGGTTTTAAACCAATATGGGAAGTTTTCGGCAATGGTTGTTGGGGTACTGTTTGGATAATTCAGCATTCTCTATTCCGTATGCATACTGTAACCGCAATTGTTAAGAACAAAAGGTATAAAAAACTAATAAATGGGGTTCAGAGTATACAAAGGAAGAAGAACTTACTTCAATTGTTCTTCAATTTCATCACAATTGGTGAAGACATACCATTGAATCTTATGGAACTCAGCCTGCCCTATAGGGTCATAGTTTGTAGCACCTATAGATCTACCTTGCTGGCGGAAAACATCAAACCCCTTGTAGTTCAAATTGTCTAACCCATCATCATTTCTGTCTAGCCTACTTGCTCGGATTTCAACACCTTTAAGATATTTACAACACAAATCTGAACATTCTTTCGCTATATACCTTTCGGCAATCGATCCCTCGGCACGGGCCTTATTAGAAACATAAGATTTAAGAGTTCCTAAAAACCTAGTTAAATCAAAACCAAGAAAATGTCATAATACCAAAGTTAGCTACGTTATATAAAAATTCGGAGAAAAAAATTAATGTGCATGACTCTGGGTGTACCTCTCCATTGGGTACATCCAGCGATACTGCACCGGTCCCCCGAGCTCAATTTCGCGGGGAAGGTGAATAGGCAGATGCATCATCACGACGAAGAAAGCTGGTGGATACAACATTTCCAGGTTGCAAAGTATAACTGGAATGTTATCACTGAGTTTCCTGACAGTGGTCTTCGATATCGTTCTTGAACACAACTCACGAAAGAATTCACTAAGTTGATACAATATATTATATACTTCTTTGCTCAGGAACCCTTGTGCAACAACAGGCAGAAGGCGTTGAATGAAGACATGGTGATCATGGCTTTTCATGCCAGTGATCTGGGAATTTGATCGACCATCAGTAGTCACACATCGGGATATATTAGATGCATAAGCATCTGGGAATTTGATCGACCTCAACCAATCACAAAATGGCCTTCGTTGTGCAATTTTTATGGTGTATAAAGCGGGAGGCATTTTATACTTATCACCGTCTCTCACCAGATGTAGCTCTTTCCTAATACGCATGTCTTCCAAATCCCGTCTAGCATTGGCTGTAACTTTGTTCTTACCCTCGATATTTAGTTGTGTAGCTATCACATTCTCACTAATGTTTTTTTCAACATGCATAACATCTAAATTATGCCTCAACTCTATAGTTTTCCAATATGGCAAACTCCAAAATGAAGCTTTGATTTTCCAGTTATGTGGAATATCATCAGAACTTCCCCTTTTCCTTTTCCCACAATCATTCACGACCACATCAGAGAGAAAGGCCTTATCTATTTGCTGCAAAAGTTGATCTCCAGACAACACTCTTGGTTTGCCTCTAAGTTCATGCTTCCCATCAAATTTCCGACTTTTTCTCCACCTATGGTCAGTTGGCAGCCATCATCGATGCCCCATGTAACACTTTTTATGACTAAAATCCAAACGTTCATAGCATGTCTCACTATTACATACAGGACAGGCTAATCTCCCCTTCGTACTCCAGCCCGATAGCATGCCATATGCGGGAAATCGTTTATTGTCCATAACAACGCAGCATGTAAACGAAATGTTTCGTTTGAGTGTGCGTCATACGTACTGACCCCATCCTCCCATAACTCTCTCAACATTTCTATTAGGGGCTCTAAGTACACATGTATGTTATTACAAGGCGATTTCTCTCCAGGTATAATGACAGCAAGAATAAAATAAGGTTCTGTCATACATTTCCAAGGCGGGAGATTGTACGGTGTTAACACGACGGGCCACATGCTATAGCTATTGCTCATGTTCCCAAAGGATTGAACCCATCACTTAGAAGAGCAAGGCGAACATTCCTAGGGTCTGCTGAAAACCAACTATGTTCCTCATCGAATCGTTTCCAAGTTTTTCCATCTGCCGGATGCCTTAACGTATCATCATCGACACGCAAGTCCTTATGCCACCTCATGTCTTTAGCATCCTCCTTAGTCATGTACAATCTTTGCAGCCTATCTTTTACTGGGAAATACCTAGCTTTCTTTTGGGCTACATTATTTTGTTTCCCAGGTATGTATCTAGACTCATTGCATTTGGGACATGACTTGGCAGAATCTAGAGGACCTCTATAGAGTACACAATGATTTGGACATGCATCTATAGTGGTGTAACCTAACCCAAGATCTTCCATGTACCGCTTAACTTCATAGAAGGAAGAAGGAAGCGTCTCACCAACAGGTAAAGCTTTCTTGACTAGGTCCAGATTCATGCTGAAGGCTTTATCAGTACTGTTGGTTACCAGTTTATTGTTCAGCAATTTCATAACAAATGATAATCTAGAAAAGTCTTTGCATCCAGGGTATAATAGCAAATTGGCATCACGGATTAGCCGAGCCAATTTATCATTGAGGTCTGTTAGATTAGAATAATTAGGTGTTGTTGACCCCTCAATGACAGGAGCATTTCCAGAAGAAGCACGCAGCATATCCCCTAACATATCTGCCATGTCATCCTCTAAACCTCAGTCTCAGGCGCAACTGTAGGTTGCCTAGGCTGATGTCTAGTACTCCCAAAGTCAAACGACTCACCATGATGGATCCATGTAGTATATGTCTCCACCATGCCATTCCTGGTTATATCATCTACGACAATCTCCAACTTCTTGAAGTTTCGATTATTGCACCTTTTACAAGGGCATCTAGTTCTACCTAGCGTATCAACATGTTTGCTGGCAGCCCCTATGAACTCAGAAACCCTCTTTTGATATTCATCACAAAACCTATCCTTAAGCTTAATCTAATTTCTACTCATTCAATCTGTGCGTAAAGAAACTGACCTTCCATTTATAGGCAGTTGGTCAAGATTGAAGCACAGCGTGAGATGAACTAGAAAAGGATCTGCAGAGGGTATATGACAAACCATTAGGAACCATTTGACTTACACGATTTCATTAAAACAAAAAAATTGAAGACATTAATCGAATCTTACCTTTTCTTAGTGCCTGGGGCGCCTTCTCTCTATTCTAATTAGCACAACTGGATGGTTGAAGGATCGAAGATATAAGTAGCACCTGCCACCGAGTCAATGACAAGGAAACACAAGAGCTCATTCAGATAGATAAACCACAAGAATAGTCTTAAGCTAAATTAGTATTACACAGTAGCCACGGGAGGGAGGGACGACGCTTACCTATTTCTGAGACCAGCGAGTTTGCTCTCCAATCCGTAAAGAAATTTAGGTTTCGGAGATTGGGGATTTTTGAACTGCGGTGGTGACGGGGCGATTGGGGGAACAGTTACGACGACGGAAATCCCGCCGGTGAGTGGCCAGCCCGATTGGTGGAGGACGGTAAAGGATCAAGGTCGTTGGAATATTGATGGTGATTTTTATGTCCGGTTCCTTTGGATTTTGATGGACTGCGCAATTTGAAGAGACAAGGAAAGGAGTATAATTGTTCTCCCGAGGGAAAGAGGTTGCAGCCTAAAAACACCAAGTATGACGAAATGTCATTGTCACATCTCGAGACCACTATATTATGACCAACATTACATTTGGTCAGATCGGCGAGGGCTTATGGTTCTCTATTTTGACAAACCAATTTGTCATTTAAACAATTCATCAAGACATAATATGACAAACGATACTTTGACGATGACATTTTGTCACTTTATGTCTCTTACAACCCGATGTGGGTTACCTATTTTGATGAACCATATAGTGACACACAAATTTGGTCACGTTATAGACTTTAACTGACAACGTATTCTGACAAAACGATATTTTGTCACATTAGGAATACCAAATGTGACATTTATACATTTTGTCATATTATATGATCTATTATGACAAAAGGAAAATGACAAAAAAAATAAATTTGTCCTAATAGGCCGAATTTGTTGTACATGACGATGACAGAGCGACAGAGCGACAATACATCACCGACTTCCACTACCAGGCGGCCTTCCATGCCATCTGTCGCACCGAGCACCAGGGAGACGACTACAGAGGCTCTGTCACTAATACTGTGAAGCTCATGACACCATGGAGGATCATGCACACCCTCCTGATGAAGTCCGTCATCCCCAACCTACTGGCTGGAAATTGGAACACAAATAAAGGGTTGATAGCCCCCAATTCATTAAACAAGTCATCTGATCCGCTTCATCAGGGATTTGTGGTTGCTACCACCTTTTCTCGATGCGAGGGTCGGGACCGGGTGAACACGATGCATTTGGGACCCTCTACCTACGGACCACACCTCGAAGAGAGAGTGGATCTCCTCGATGCACATTATGTGGGGGTCACCACTCGCCTTGACCGCACTGCCGATCTGGTAGAGAGGATGGCTCGCCGCTAGGGTGTCCTCTCCGATGACGAGGAGTGGGCCTGCCACGACGAGGTAGCCATCGAGGGAGACACGTGCCAGACCCCATTTCATTCGCCCCACTTCTCCACTTGCAAACTCTGAACTCTTTTTATTTTTATTTTTATTTTCTCCTTAAGTTGTGTGTGAACTAGTACCTTGTGAGTTATTTATGTTGAATCGTATTGTGAACCCTTGTTATGTGTAAACCTCTCCTCGAGCGAGAATGTGTTGTGTTTGTGCTTTGTTTTTTGTTTCTCCCTTGAAACTCCAACATCCTACCCCAGGAATTTCTCAAACTGTCATTCAAGTCATGCGGCATCGTTCTACCCCATATTTTACGCCATTGAGGGCAATGTTGTGCTTAAGTGTGTGTGTTGTGGGGGGGGGGGGGGGGGGGGGGGGGGTAGGGGTAGTTTACTATTATGCATGTGAGTGAATGGTTGGAGCCTTATTGTATTCCAAAATTTGAAAACTTTGAGGCCTCCAAGATATGCATGATCAAAAAGGCCAGTTGGTGGGTGAATCTCGTCCTTATTTGGCATCAATCTTGAATTGTTACATGTAATCGAGTGCATCCTATTATGATGATTGACAATACATTAGGGTTGTGCAAAAGTTTAGTTCTCATGTGTTCTTGAATGAATGGATGTCTTGACTTGGTTACTTCTTGATTATAATTGCCATGCTTGGAATTTTTTGAATTGGAGTAGATGGTTAGGTGGCTAGGTCGCCATTTGAGTTTTGTGCCGATCATTTTTTTCTTCATGTATGATAGATCCCTCTCGCCATGGTGTGTAACATTCACCGTTGTCACTAGTGAGTATGATGGAGGCATAGGATTAGTCCATGCCCAAAAGTTGATAGTCCCGAAACATTTTATCCCCTAGTCAACCCCTTTGACCCGTGTGACTTTGGGGGTCATTCTAATGGTAGGAGCTTCATGCTTGTTGAGCTTAATGGTGATTGAAAGAATGACCCCCACCCATCCTTTCTTCGTGTCAAAGTGTGAGTTAACCTTGTGTCTCAGAGTTCTACCTTTTAAGCTGCATTGAGGTTCTACATAGGTGGTTTTGCACGGTTCTTGCAAGAAATGAGAAGGTAGTATTGGGGGAAATTTCTTAAATGGAGAACACAGTTCGTTAAATGAAAAAAGTGGCATGTGTTTAGCTCTCTAGTACCCCCCTCGGAAAAAAAGAGAAAAAGAAGGAAAGGGCAAAAAGAAAGAAAATAAACAAAAAGAGGTAATAAAACGAGGTAAATAAATGAAGAGAGTGGCCACAAAAGTCTAAGTGTATGCTCTATAAAGGGTTTCTTGGCACTCAAGCCATTGAAACACCTACATTGTTTGATGACATCCTTCACTACTAGGTTCGAAATGTGGATAGCAAGATAGGCCGGAGAAGTGTGCTTGAATGTAGTTTCTGATTAGTAGTCATTGGAATAAGGGAAGTGTGGTTTTTGGCCGATGCTAGTGGCCTTTGTTTGTAGGAAAGGTTCTTAGTCGAGACCATAGAACCTTGGATTTTAGGTTCAAGATGTAGGACCTCATGCCATGTTTGTCACCACCCACAAAGTCGTTTCCCCATGTCCAAGACAATGGCCAGTCATTTGAACCCGTGTCTAAGACCTCTGGACAAGCTAGTGATGACAACCATCCTGTGAACTATAGTATTTAGAGGTTGCCGCCGCAGTGGAGAGACGATAGGGTTGTGTGTTGATGATTGTGCACATCTTTTGCAGAAAAAAAATTTCCCGACCCCACTGGTCGAGAGTGAGTGATTCATTCTTGTTTTGCATGCTCATATCTTACCTCGGTGAGGACCTATGTCGCCCCGTTGTCTGTTCCTTGGAATTGAGTTCTATGCATGGTTAGTTGTGGTTGGTGAGTAGTTCGGTCGAGACTTGCATTGATTTGTGAACAGGGTGAGAACTTTTCATTTTCCCATTCTTGATGCAATAGAATGTCGTTTGTGGTGGATTCCGGTATTGTTGAGGCGGTTCATGTGTTGATGCCCATATAGTCATTGAGATTCACCACTTTGTGCCTTTTAATTTTTTCCCAAGTCATCTTGTTAGTTTGAGATATTACCTTGATTGAAAATGGTTTGCTTGGGGACAAGCGAATGTCTAAGTGTGGGGGAGTGATTCGGGCTCATTTGTACACTTTTTACCCCCGGTTTGCTAGTCGTTTGACGCATTTTTACTCCGAGAGGTTTGGTTTTACGTCGGGTTGTGCCTTGTTTTGGTATGTTTCAGGCTTTGACAGGGAGAACCAACCCCGGAGTCGAAAGTTGGATGAAAGGGCAAAAGATCAAGTCAAATGGTGGAAAAAACACCACTTCACGGTTTGGGTTGCGAGTTCACGATCACTAAGACCGTGAACTGGAGGCGCTCCTCGCAAACTGCAGACATCTAGAGTACAAAAGGGTTTGCACTGGACACTAGCCAGTTCACGGTCGTAAGATCATGAACTCAGACCTCCATCCGGGAACAAAGTTTAGTGATGCGGCGTTTTTCATCGTTGGTTCACTGTCGGTGCTTTTAGTTCATGCCCGTGAACTAAGACCGTGAACTGAGCCCGATTTGGGTATATAAAGGAGGTTGAGCCAAAAGGAGATAAGGGGAAGACCTAGTGTGTGAAACTTCTTATTATTCTTCTTCTTAGGATTTCTAGAGTGAGAAAGTGACGAACGAAAAAATGGGAGAAGCTAGGGTTTCATCTTATAGCAAGGATTTGTGAATTCCTCTCCCAAAGGAGGATCTCTTCAGCACAAGGAGTAAGGCTAGCATCTCTTTGATGGTTTTCCTTCTTCTCTCTTGTGTTTCCCTTCTCCTAGCATGGAGTATTCCCTTCTTTCACTTGGGTTTTAAGTGTTGCTATATATAGGGATTGTTACCCCTAGCATTGGCAATGAAACTCACTTGCTCCCCGGGCGTGCTTGATTCCTTCATCATTTGACAATCCAAAATAACGTGGGTGGTACTTGAACACCAATCACACGCCATTACTAGACTCTTCCCATGCTTCTTGTCCTCTAGGAGTGCCTCAGTCAAACAATCAATCTAAGCTTCAAGCAGGGACTCGCTCCTACACTTTGCACTCCCCTTGCGGTGCTTCTCTTTCCACTTCTTGTCAAGCCCCAATTGTACCCTTTACTTGTCATGTCTTCAAGCAACTCGGTCACTTGGGGTGGAGTCATGTTCATCAATTTCCCATGACATAAGTAGTCAATGAAGATCTTGTTGTCTTGGTGGAGACCGCCATAGAAGGTCTCAATCCGGAATTGCTCCTCAAATCCATGATGTGGGCATTGGAGGAAGTAATCGAAGTACCTACCCAAGAATCCCTCAATATCTCATTTCCCTCTTGCTCAAAATGGGAGGATCTTCTTGAGCCACTTCTTTGTCTTTGAAGGTGGGCAATACCGAGTCATAAAATTGTTGAGCATATCATCCCATGAGGTGATCGAGAGACGCATCGCATTCTACTGTTAAGCCACCGAGACGCATTCCCCGCAAGAGAGTAGGGGAATAGACTCAACTTCAAAGCATCCTCGGGGACACCATTAATCTTCAAACTCCTTGCAAGTTCAATGAATTTCTGAACATGCTCCCTCGGAGACTCCTGTGCTAAGCCTATGGAATAGGGCATTCTTTTGAATCATGTTGACAAGGGCGGGCTTGATCTCAAAATTGTTGGCGGCCACGGGTGGATATCCAATGGCGGGTTGAATATCCGTCGACCTTGGATCCATGTAGTAACCCATGGTCCTTGGTTGCTCCTCCTTGAGCGGGTTGATTAGCCGCCATCTCGGCTTCACTTCCTTCCTCTTTGGAATCAACCCCTTCTTCAACTACAACTTCCTCTTCTATCCTCCTTCTTGCATCGGCTAGTTCCCTCTCATGAGCCAAGTGTCAGAGAGTGCTGTTGAGATCCTCCTCTAGTGGAGCCAAAGGTGTCGAATTACTCCGGGTCATACACCTCCATGCACACAATGAAAAGAACAACAACATGTCTAGGATAAGCAATATTTGAAAATACAAAAGAGAAAATTAAAAGCTAGATTAACACCAAACAATATTTTCAAAATAATGAACTGTTGGCTCCCCGGCAACGGCGACAAAAACTTGACTCGTCCTGAATACCACAATAGAACTCCCAATTAAGGCCCAAGTATAAACCTCAACTGGGTGCATTATAGGGCAAGTATGTTTAAATATCAACCCAGGCCGGTTCATGTACCCCTACTTCGATCGTTTGTAACATTATCTAGCGGTTGACTTTTGGTTAATACAATGATCTATAGCTAAAACGTTTGCAAAGGTAAATGGATTTGACACTAATAGAGAAAGCTTCACTCGAGTGTTGCTCCCCCTAGCTAACAACTATGACTTTTTGGATCAAATGGTCGTGTAAGGGGGGTGTAAACCGTAGGGAAGTGCAACAAGTAGCCAAGCGCCACTCTCTCGGTTTTTAGGACAAAGGGAGATAATTAGATTCAAGCCACCAACATGACTCTCTCGACCTATTGAATAATGATTGCAAAGACTTCACCCTCGAATCGGAGTTCGGACGGCCACCCACAACCAACCCTAGGTGCTAATACGAAATAAAACGTTTGATTCGAGCTCAAGAACGTGAACTGGACAGCTAGCCATGAACCGCCAGGCATCCAGAGCATATTTCACTTTCACTAGACTAAAGTTAGTTCACGGTCATAAGGTCGTGAACTCAGGCCATTACCCGTGAATAGAACTTACTGATGCGACGCGTTTCGACTTGAGATCATGGTTCGGGCTTTCAGTTCACGGCCATTAACTAGGACCGTGAACTGACCCCGATCTGGGTATAAAAGGAGGTTGAGCCCGACTTAGTGTGAGAAACTTCTTCTTCTTCAGATTTCTAGAGTGAGAAAGTGACGAACCAAAGAATGGGAGAAGCTAGGATTTAATCTTCAATCAACGATTTGGGAATTCCTCCCCCAAAGGAGGATCTCTTCAACACAAGGAGAAAGGCTAGCATCTCATTGATGGCTTTCCTTCTTCTCTCTTGTGTATTCCCTTCTCCTAGCATGGTGTAGTCCGTTCTTCTCACTTGGGTATTTGTAAGCCCTAGCTACAATTATGTGATTGCTTGTATGGATTGAATGATTTGTGAGTGTTGGTGTTGAATGTGAATGTGGAGGTATTATTCATGAATCATTGTGTTGAGTGAAAACCTATCAATGTAATTGCCATTCTAACCTAGGTAGAGATAAAACCCCCTTCATTTCTTTGAAAGAGGCTTGTAAAGCTGGGTTTTCTTAGGCAAATCCTTGTCTCCTATCTAGGTTAATGCAGGGCAACCCTCTCTACTCGTATTAGCACCTAGGGTTGGTTTTAATTGGGTCGTCCGAACTCTGATTCGAGGGTGAAGTCTTGGCAACCCTTAGCCAATAGGTCAAGAGAGCCATTTTGGTGGCTTAAATCGAATTTCCTTGACCTAGAGACCGAGAGAATGGCATTTGGCTACTTGTTGCACTTCCCTATGGTTTGCAACCACCTAGCCACACACATCCATTCGATCTTTCAAGTCATAATTGCTAGCTAGGGGGAGTAACACCTGGATGAAGCCTTCTCTTCAAATCCATTTACTTTTCCAAACTTTTTACCCATAGATCGTTATTTTCACCAGCAAAACCATTTGATAGATAATGTTTCAAACAATCAAAGTAGGGGTACATGAACTGGCCCGGGTTGACATTTAAACATACTTGCCCTATAATTCACCCAATTGAGGTTTATACTTGGGCCTTAATTGGCGCCGTTGCCGGGGATCTAACGGTTCATTATTTTGAAAAGATCGTTTGGTGTTAATCTAGCTTTACTTTTCGCTTTTGTGTTTGTGAATCTTGCTTGTGTTAGACGAGTTGTGGTTCTTTTGAGTGTGTGCAGGGTGGTGTATAACCTGGAGTACTCACCACTAGACGAGAATCTCATCCGCACTCTCCGGCACTTGGCTCGTGAGAGGCAGCTAGCGAAGGCAAGAAGGAAGATAGAAGAGGAATTTGAAATTGAGGAATGATTTGATTTCGAAGAGGAAGGAAGTGAAGCTGATATCGCGGCTAATCAACCCGCTCAAGGTGGAGCGGCCGCGAAGGAGCAACCAAGGACCATGGGCTACTATATGGCTCGAAGGGCGGAGGATATTCAACCCGCCATTCAACATCCGCCCGTGGCCCCCAAAAATTTTGAGATCAAGCATGCCCTTGTCATCATCATCCAAAACAATGTCCTATTTCATCGGCTTAGCAAAGAGTTTCCAAGGGAGCATGTGTTAGAAGTTCATTGAACTTGCGGGGAGTTGAAGATCAATAGGGTTCTCGAGGAAGCTTTTAAGTTGAGGATTTTCCCCTACTCTCTTACGGGGAATGCACCTCGGTGGCTCATCAATAGACCGACTCTCTCGATCACTTTGTGGGATGACATGCTCAACACGTTTATGAATTGGTATTTCCCACCTTCAAAGACGGCGGAGTGGCACATGAAGATTACCCGCTTTGAGCAAGAGGAAGATGATACATTGAGGGATGCTTGGGAAAGGTACTCCGACTTTTTCCTCCAATGCCCACATCATGGATTCTAGGAGAAATTCCGGATTGAGACCTTCTACAGCGGTCTCCACCAAGACGACAAGATCCTTATTGACTCCTTATATTAAGGGAAATTTATGAACATGACTCCACCCCAAGTGACCGAGTTGCTTGAAGACTTGGCAAGTAAAGGGTATGATGGGGTTTGACGAGCAGTGGAAAGAGAAGCACCGCAAGAGGAGTGCAAAGTGTAGGAGCGAGTCCCCCGCTTAAAGGTAAGATTAATCGGATGATTGATGAACTCCTAGAGGACAAAAAGCATGGGAAGAGGCCGGTTATGGTGTGTGATTGGTGTTCAAGTACCAGCCACGAGATTTCAGATTTTCAAATGATGAAGGAATCTAGCACCCTGAGGAGTAAGTGAGTTTCATTGCCAATGTTAGAGGGAACAACCCCTATAACAACACTTACAACCTGGGGTGGCGAAATCATCCCAATTTCTCTTGGTTTCCAAGTCCCTGGTTTCCAAGTCCCGACGGGAAATTATCAACCAAGGCCTACTTTCATTCAACAATGGTCGAAATTCCAAGGCTCTAACTTCCAACAACTATTCAAGCTCAAGGTGGTCAAGGGTTCCAGCAACCCGATAAGTTTGCAAAACTTGAAGACCTTGTGACCACCTTTGTGAGCACGAGCACTCAAAAGTTTGAGAAGATTGAGCAATTTATGTATGTGGTAGCAACAAAGTTTACTTCGGTTGAGGCGGGATTGAGAAGCCATTAGGCAAGCCTTCAAAACTTGGAGGTGCAAATTGGTAATCTCGCCAGGATCCTCACCGAGAGACCAAGGGGAACCCTACCCTCCCAAACTATTGTCAACCCCAAAGATCAAAGTGCCGGTTGTAATACTATTAGTTTGAGGAGTGCTAAGATTACAACGGATATTGTTCCTAAGGAAGTGAATGAAGAAGAGAAGACTCCTCCAATGGCCGA